CAACCTTGTTGGGAGAGTAGATGAAAGTGGTGTTCTGGACTTTTCTTATCACCGTTGCGTGTGGCAAATGCACAACAGGGTGAAATTATGGGAGTGTTCTTGCAACGAGTACCGTTAGCCTAAGCAGCGTCTATATATAAAATCCTGATACTTTTCCCATTAAAAACAAGTTTCCACCCGATCAACCTTGTGTTTTCCTTTAGGGGTGAAAGAGCACGGCTCATAAACAGGAGGGACCACCAGAGTGTCACAGCCTGTCGCTGCGGACACGAGAAGACGCGCAGGAAGATTCACAAGAGCTGCCTTCCATATTGGTTAGAGTGAAACGCCTACCATTTCCTGGCCAACAAGACCTATGCCTCTTCTGGGAGGTCGCTGCACAGAACCAGAAGGCACTGGGCCAAACGCTGCCTGAAGGTATCTTGCAGCTGCGCACATCAGTGGAATCTCATGAAGTGCCAGCATAGATTTTTTTTTTAATTAAGAGGCAAGAGAAATAAAGCCAGACTGGGTTAAGACAGGGAAACCTGTCACGGCGGACAAAGGCCGAGCCCCACTGTGTATCTGCACGGCCGACACAAAGAATTTAACCCGTGAGGCGCTTAAATTCCCGTCCCTGGGGCAAGAAGCCTGCCACGGTACCACACATTCGATACACTAACGCAGCTCACAGAGTCAGACTGTAGCCTGTGTGTGATTTAAGAATTTATTAAGTCATACATGCAAAACAGACTGCTAACCTGCATTACCAAAAAAGATCAATGTAAAAACTTCACAATCTTGCAAACTCCATTTATATATATTTATATATATATATATTTATTTTTTGTTCTAGTAGTTGAAAGGTGGGAGATCAACGTGTTCTTGCCAGCACCTGGGACGTACAGAACCTCACAGACCTGATTACCATTATTAGACCTATCGAAAGGAGGTATGTGTTCCTGGAAATGTTAAAACGGGCTATGTCAGCGTTAGTAAAGTTATACAGCTTCAGGATACCTGACAGGTAGTGACATTAGCAATAAGGAAAGGTGGAGTGAAATATTAAAAAAAAAAAAAAACGTATTTCAGCTGCCCATGATTTTTACACCGAGTCACCTTGAAGATTAAAGAAAGCCTTTTAAACCATGTATATATAGGATGGGGGGGAAAAAGACCGAAAGTTATGCTTGACTACTCTAGCTTACCCCCCCAAAAAATGGCTAATATAAATCAGAAATGCTTTAAAATACAAGTTATATTGCTCAGGAGGAGATTCTATAAGAAAAGCATCCAGCAAGAACATGTGAAGAGAGGACCAGTTCAAAATTGCAGTAGACTGAATGCTCTACCAGAAAAATGTGGACAAACACTCTAGAAAAACACCAACCTGCTGTTCAGCTATTCATTAGCTGCAGAAGGGGGCTTCCTTTAGTAGGTCTTATCATACAAGAAAAAAATCCACTCGGTTTTAAACTAGTGTGTTGACAATGTAGTGTAAATTGATCTTTAGAGTGTCAAAATACTGTTCTGGTTGTTTCCGTTGACCAATCTAGCTGTCTTTCCCCCAACAAAGCAATATGAAGGAAGACAAATACATTTCAAGAAAAAATAGCTTTAATCACAGACCTTAGTAGGTTTGATTTTGTTTTTTTTTAAAAAAAGGGAAGGGTGAATCTGGAGTTGTCAATTATTGCATTTGTTCAAGCATGAAAATGGATGTGAAAGCTGTCAGATGGAACGAGCGCATTAGACAGCAGTGTTTTCTTCCCGGGAAAATCCTATAAAGTGTTGCAATTCCTAATAAACATTAGTATTTTTAAAGACACCTGCCTGACTTTAAAAAACAGGCTTGGTGCTCCACATAACAAAGCACAGCAATCCAACAGAGTAAGGAGCAAATAGTTTGGCAACAGTTGATTAAGCTGAGCAAAAAGAGTGGGGGAAAAAAATAAGGCTTTTATATAAGTCTGTCTTTTTTTTTAAAAAAAAGATCTCTTTAGAAGAAAGAAGAACCTAACTTTTTAAACAAAGGAAAAGGTAAGATTGCTGTTCAAAATAATCTGATGGAAGAGAACCATTTTTTTAAACAGAAACATGTGAACGCTCCATTATTCCAAGCAAAGCACAGAAGGTTTGGGGTGGGGGAGTCAGCATTACAGCAGCAGACATTTTCTCTTCCTCTTCTTTACCGGAGGGGGGCAAAGAACGGCTCGAATGGCTTCATCAAAGACTGTCTTGAGGCCCCGCTGTGTAAGTGCTGAGCATTCTAAGTATTTTACTGCGCCTACAAAAAAAGACAAACTTTTCTGAGAACACACACATCCCAACATCCTACAATCAAAGAATAAGAAGTGTTCTTGGCAACAGGAGAACAGGGAAGCTACAATATCCATCCTCCTGAAAGGATTTTAAAAAAAAAAAAAAGTATTTCTCTACAGCAGTGTTTTCAGACTTGGCAACTTTATTTAAGGCATGTGGATTTCAATTCCCAGAATTCCTGGCTGGGGAATTCTGGGAGTTGAAGTCCATGCGTCTTAAAAGTTGCCAAGTTTGGAAAACACTGCACTACAGCCTCAGTCCAAAGAGAATCTAATAGTAACCCTCTGCATGGGTCAAAGCCCTACCAATCTCCTTCGCCATGGCAAGGCCTTGCGGATAGGTGATAGGAGTCAGTTTCTTCTCCTTGAGTTTTTCAATAGTGTCTTTGTCATCTCGGAGATCAAGTTTGGTTCCCACTAGGATGATGGGAGTGTTGGGGCAATGGTGTCGCACCTCTGGATACCACTGCAGAAGAAGGAAAACTGTCAATGTTCTGCCCGGAAGATCAACACTGTCAAAACAAGTAAGAAGCCAACTTCCCACCAACAAGTCATATTCTTTAAGGCATGCAAACCAGTGGACACACCACTGCTTTAGAAGACCCACACGTGCACAAAAGGAAGCATTACAACGCCCAGAGTTCAGACATATAGGGGGAACCAGTTCCCCCTTTTCCTGTTTTAAGGAGGACGTAACAGGCTCCAGTCCAGGAATCTGAGACAATCTATGAGGTGCCAAGGTTTTCTATGCACTGTACAAAATCTACTGCAGCTTACTCATAGGCAGTGTACAAAATGAAAAATTTGGGTTGTACTTCGCTGTTAGCTTGACTGACAGTCCACAACAGCAAAAACAACTTTTGCCACCGGCTTTTACACTGTGTTAAACACGGTGTGGCAAACCGGATACCAGTTCCATTTCCAAAAAGATTTCCTTCTTTTATAAAGCCATGTTTTGTTAGTTTCACTGAACGTTTGGACTAATTTATTTTTCTGCTATTAATAGCCTAGGTCTCTCTTAAGGGGGGGAACAGCAATTTTTTACTCACCTTTGCACGGACATTTTCAAAGGATGCTGGACTCACAAGGGAAAAGCAAATTAAGAACACATCCTGCAAAACAGCATTATCAGAATTTCAGTCTCCAGCGGCTTGACATGATTTTCACATACCTAGCTCCTCTGACGATTTCTAATGACCAAGAAATAGCAACACTGGGCTAGCAGGATAGAGCATGTTAAAATTATCTTTCTTTGCTGTTCAAGATGGAATTAAATACTAGCAGACAAGAAATACTAGAAGAATAAAGGAACCCATCAAATGTTGTCTTAGTCTTCTGTCTAAAAAAGTTGCTGATTCCTTTCCTACTGCATACACTTGGATGGCATGCTGTCTTAACTTATATTCCATTAGTCATCCCCACTTCGCTGTTCTGTAAAGTGACAGCCAGCTTGGGGGGGAGGGGGGGCAAATACAGGGCTTTAGTTTTCTGTTCAAAACCACCAGGAACTTTAGAAGCCAGGATCTACTCTCACACCATCTGCTCCAGACCGAATCAGCAATGAGCTACCATTCGCAAATGCCATTTCTCAAGTGCCTAACTTAGAAAACCCTTCTACGCCTAGACCACATTATTTCCCCCTGCGCATCTTTCCAAATTATCCCAAATGCAGATCAACAGCTGGGCTGCTAAGAATCAGAGAAGCGCTCTGGGGTGTTAGTTGATTGAGCTGTAGCCTGAGGCCACCGGGGAGGTCAGCTCCTGAGGCCTTCACAGTTAAGCATTCGCAACCGTAATTAACCATGCAGCCGGGTAACTGGTGGAAAGTTGGTGGAAAGTTGGTACGCTCCCGTAGCCCCTTACAGCTCCTCTCGCTTGCCGGCCAAGTGGCTGGTGTCCAACCCATCTCCTTTCCACCATTCCCAGCCCCTCAAAGACAGGAAGTCTTTGAAGGAAGCCGCTTTTGTAAGTGCCTGATTTAACTGTTGGTTAAGGAACAGTTGTCTAGAGCATTAGAGGGACAGGAAGATGGCAGAGGACGGGAAGCCAGTTTCATGGCCGCAGAAGCAGGAAAGAGGGAGAGTGCAGCAAAAGCACTTGGAATGTAATGGATGAAAGCGTTACATACGCAGAGTGGCTGGCGTTTCGCACTGGAAGTTAAATCCTTACCATTCGTACCTTCAACCTAGTAATAGCACGAGACAACTTCAGTTAAAGTTAGGAGATGCTTGGAAAGATGCTCTTTGTTCATCGGCTGAAAGGGGGTTCAAGGTTCCCAGGATTTTACAGCTTCAGAACTGCAAGAGGTCGGACTTCTAATTGAATGGGCCCCAGTTTTTGTTTCAGATTCCTCTGCTTGTAGAAAACTAGCCTGCCCAGAGAGGAAATTATTCTAGCCTAACTTCTTGGAGGGGAGATCTCCTACATGAAAAAAGTATTTGCGTCTGTGTATATACTTAATTTTTTTTTTTTAAAGATGTATACAGGGGGTACCAAAAGTCAGGTCCCATAGGCCAATCACAATGTGTTTTATTATTATTTTTTTCCCTAGGGAAAATGTTTCTGTACTTAGGAACATGTACTTAGGAACTTAGGTTATGCATCCAAAGAGGAAGCATTTAGAAGAAAACTGCAACCAATCTGAACATTTTGCTATGCGTATTTGCTTAGATGTCTCTAAAAGTAGGGGACTTTTCCCCTAAGAAGCTGTTTCTGGAATTTACGACGACTTTTACCAATCCCATTTACAAAGAGATTACAAAACGTTCTAACGGCCAGAGGCACCTAAGATCCTTCTTCGATACCATTTGGCTCAAGTTATCATCTTACCCTGAGGTTACAGATATGCACTTTTCTGCAGGGACAAGTCTGGAGATCTCATCACGCAACATAGGGAGAGGTATCTTACAATATTAAAGGCTTCTTCAGCAATCCTAGAAAAGCACTGGGGCTTGGCAAAGTACTTAGCTCTCACTTGTTTTTGAGGCTATTAGCAAAGGAGCGGAGGAGAGGCCCTACGTACAACACCTCCTGCTCTTTCTCCACTCAGCTACCCTTCAGAGGTGTGCTTTCCCCTTGGGATTGGGTGGCTGTCCCAGATGAGTCACTTGTTGCACGCCGAAGGCCCTTCTGGGAACAAAGGACTCCTTTTTCTTTTCTGGCAGTCTTCTTGGAAGCAGCAAGGCCATCAACCAATGGCTCTGCCAGCCCTCTGCCCATCTTGCTCTTCCGTAAAGCCAAAGCAAGGCACAGAAACGGACTTCCCAGAGTTGTACGTGCAAAACACTTAGTGAGCAAGTGAAAGGGAAAAAAAAAGTTCACAGAACTGAACAGCTGAGCTTTTTCATTGGAGGGGTGGCAAGAGGGGGGAAAAAATGCACCGATTGAAGAGCCAGGAAAGGGCCTCGGTCTCTTTGGGGGAAGCGTGTGAATTATTGTTGTTAGTTTTCAGAGCGGTAAACTCAGGGCAACGCCAGAAGGACAAGCAGGAAGAAATACCTGCATCACTGGTGGGCAGTTTGGCCAATTTTGATCAGGAAACAAAACATTCTCACTCACAATGAGAAGCACATTAAATTCAGGGTAGGTCTAGAACAGCGTCACCAGACTTTTGAGAGCAAACACTGCTTGTCATAAAGGTGTGTCCGTATGTGTTAGAACACGCTTTGAAGTACATGGATAGCTTATAAATTGCTCATGTGTGCTTTTGTTTAGGACAACCAAGTCTTGGAAAAACACACTTGGCTAAATCACACATAACACGGACTCCCTTAACTTGCCATGGGGAAGTGGGGAAATTCAAAACAACCCTAGTTAGTTTCTCACTTTGAACAAAAAAAAGATTTGGAAGAACTGTGCTGTAAAACCCGCTAGTTTGAAAGCAAGTAGACAACTCCTGTACCGCATCCTTCACTCCCAAGCCCAGAATGAACAAATGGGAGCAAGCAGGAGCAAGCATCAACCTGCACTACACTGCCACAGTGCTGCTGTTTAAAGCAATTCAAGTCATCTCATTGCAGAGTCATCAGCTACGCTACCTAACGGGTTCATTTAATTTAGGGCCTCGGTCACAATTCATCTCTCGTCCTGAAGTGAAAAGCCAACATTGTCCTTAGCCATGGGAGTGTCAGACTGTGCCTGACAGCCTGAACAAAGCTGGCTTTATAGCAAGACAGCTGACTTCCCATCCACAGCCTTGCTGATGAAACTCTTCTGCCTCCTAGATTTATTAATTCCACCGGGGTCTGATTCTGGTTATGTTGTTCTGAGCACAGCGCTATAACTGTTTCGCTTGGCCTCTGGTCCAACATTGAATTAAAGCCTTAAAAAAGTCAGCCATGGGACCAATGGACTGCTTTGGGGGGGGGGGAAGCGACCTGTTCATTTGGGAGCAAGAAAGGAACCCAGGACAGGATGAACAAGCCACAGATTCAGAACACTTCTGCATATTCAAAATGTTAGCAGTAAAGCAATTAATGACAGTAAAGAGAGTGAAAGCAGTCATATGAAAGGGAAGTGTGAATATTCAGGATTGATTTTGACATTTTACTGGAAACTCCACCAGTCCCAGAAACACACAAGACTGATGGAGGACAGACAGGTTTGTGCACAAGAGTTACTTATGTCACAGCAGCTTCCAACGCAGCAGTTCTACAAATACGCAGCTACTTTAATGTTTAGCCAGTCGCTAAACATTCACACTTGAAAGGAAGGCATAGGGCAACCAATACAATGCTCCTGTATCAACTGCAGAAGCTACACACCAGCCTGGCTGCCCAGGGCTGTTAGGTTCAAAATGAGCCCACGCACGAGGAGTTCCCACTTCTCTCATTCTTTTTTTCCGAGGGAGCTTTCAACATGGCTGGTTCAGATCTGGAACCATCAGGGCTGAAAGAGCAGGCGTACCACATAATGTGGAAAGTCTGCTCGATGGGTGTGGGAGCTCTGCGTCTTCCAACCTGCTTGCCGGAGGAAGGATTACTACAGGTGATATTGGAACTACTGTGCCAGTTTGTAAGTATCTGGGACGGTGGATCAGTGCATTTACACTGAATTAGAAGCCCCTCTGATTTTCAGCAAGCCTGTAATAAGGTGCGGTCAGCTCTTCCACCATATAAAGCTTACTGTTTGTGGGTAAGATAACGGGCGTAGCCTGTCATAGTCTTCTTGTCCAGCAGTATCCCACAAGCCCAGGTTAACTGGCTTTCCATCAACCATCACATTGGCAGAATAGTTGTCAAAGCTGCCAGGGAACAGGAAGAAGTTAGCACGTTCTCTTCAAACCCAGCCCATGTCAGTGTACATGCAGCTTAAAACAACACATCAATAAGAGGTTTAAACCCAATCTTGGAGCCTGGCTTCTCCCTTTGAATGATAAAATTAAGAGAAACCGTGGCATCTTAAAGATTAGTAATTTTACAACATTTTCAAAGTTGACTATGGTCTGTGAAAGCCTGTATCACTAAGAGGCTGAAAGAGTCTTGTTTTTCCTCCAATGATCTCTCCAAAAATTGACAATGTGCTTCTGTAATTTGACATTGTGATATTTCTGCATTTTTTTTTAAAGTGTGCTTTATTATAATAACCGGTGTTGTAATATTACTTTAAAGGAATGCAGAATTATTTCACATACTTTAAAATAGAACATATATTTCATCACATGAGGTCTAAGGCACAGGAAACCCCTCCCAAGTGAGTTATATTAAAACAAATGAAGCAATGTTAGACTTCATTTCAGTCAATAGGTGCTTCTCAAAAAATCCTGGGGAATTCTGTGTATTGTTACGCAGGCATTGCACATTCTTCTGACATGCTATTTTTTATTATTTTATAGTTTATGTTTTTTGTGAACCATTCAGAGTCACTGGGAGTTGGGCAGTGTACAAACTGAATAAATAAAATAAATGCTAATTTTCCAGAGATGGAGAGCAATATAGACAAGGCCACTTATCCCATCATAAGCAAAAGAAATATTTGTGCCAGAAATACAACTTAAAGTGCAGCTCCTCTATTATAAAACAACCAAATGAACTCTCTTTATGGTCTTTCGAACACTTAAAAATGCTCAAGAGAAAAATAAAATACTCACACAGTTGGTATATATTCTCCAGGAAATGCATTGGTTGTGTAACTGATGAGTAGGCATGTTTTACCTACAGCACTGTGAAAGAGGAGGAAAAAATTGCCATAAGAACTTATTCATGTGATGGAGCTAACAAGCAAGCCATTCAGTAGAGCAAAATTAACTGTTTAATAGTACTTGACTTTAAACAAGATAAATCTAATCCTTTAACTGCAGGGTTGAACCTTATTTTTAGATATATTCATGCCAGGCTGGATAAAGGATTTATCTTTAAAATTTAGTCTTTAAAATTCATACTTGGCTGAACTCCCACATCAAATACATCTTGCCTACAGAGAACTTATTTGCAGACCTGGCCAGCTTTCGCCAGCTGACATACTAGCTTTCCACCAACATGGAGCACTGACATGATTTTGTGAACTTTCTGGAAGCATACAGATGGCCATTATGGGGGACAGGATACTGGGCATGGATCTTAATCTTTCTGCAACTTAAATTCAAGTCCTGAAGCCAAAACTTGTAATCTCAGCTTTGGGTCATTAGACTATTTGAATTTTCTTAACCTTCTGGAGGACTGTGATTTCTGGTGTTTGCAAAGTCCTCAAGATGAAAGCCTGTGTGTCAATTTAAACCAGAATGTCTATTTTGTAGAACGGTTCGCCCCAGTGAGGCATGTGTGGCTGAGTGACTTAGCATGCCTTGAAAACCCTGTTCTGTGCATTTACAACCATGAAGCCTAACAAAATTGATTAAATGGAATTTCTTGTGGCAAGGAGAAAAGAACCTCACCGTAGGGAGAAGCATATCAACAGAGTAAGAAAAACACCCACAAGCCCAGGACTTTTCATGAGAATGGAGGTTTCTTGAGCTTTACTTTTCAGGTCAGAGCAGAGTCATATTCAAGTAGTGTCTCATTAATTGGTTCACTTCTCATGACAGTGAAACAAGACAGGAAGCAATGCAGAGAAAGAGGACACACATGTAATTTTCATCAACCAAGTCTTACAGAGCACAGGCCAAAGTCCTGCTGAATAAGTGTGACTGCACCAGAAACCTAATTGTACCACTCTGTGTGGACTTTTGAATTACATCATTATTCTCAATTAATGGATTGGCAGAAGTTATTTTTCTTTCCCTCTGCCAAAATAAGAGAAAAGCATGCCTGTGAATTCAAACATGAGATCTCTGACATAGGGACTGATTACAATAAAATTAATTTTTTCTTTAGTTCATCCATCGCTTTCCTATCCTAGTAAAAATTGGACTTTTCAACTGCCCTGAAAAAATCCATCCCCACCTCCAGATATGGTCATGTTTTTCATCATTTTTGCCATTTTTAAGTCATTCTGGCATGACTGCAAGGTAGCCAGGACTTTTACTTCCAAATCAAAGAACTAAAATTGCTAGAAGCTTTGAAACCATCTGATTCCTGGGGGAGTGGGTGGGAGCTGGTGCATCACACAGCTGCTCAGTTCAGCCCTACTATCTTAAGGCATAACAAGAAAAGGTGCACGGTTCTCCTTCTGATGGAATGTTTACCTGGCTGCGCTTTGCAGGTTTCACCAGTGCCCAATGGATGCAGATCTGCTTGCTCAAGCTTTTAACTGGACCTACTCTACTTGTCCTGATTTTAAGATGCTCTCTCTGCTCTGGGATTATTATACTGTATTCATAATTAATGGCAAATCAACAATTTCATAAATAAATAAATGTGGATTTGTTTCTCCTTCACCATCAAGTTTTTTAAGTAGCCAATCTCTCTCAGATTTCCTACAAGGCAGGAAACCTTCAGAGCCACTCCAAGGGAGTGAAAAGAGGAATGAAAGATTTCAAGTCAAGCATAACCAGGCCATTAAAACAGCCTCCACAGTGGTCGTGCGGTACAAGTCAAACAGGTCCACTAAGAGAAGGAAATACCCACAAGAACAAACACATTTGTTCTATTCTAAATTTCCTGTCTTCTAAGCTTGCTGGCTTTCAGCCCAATGAGTCAGCTTTGTATTCAGCTCCAAGACGAAATTTTGATTTACCTAGACTCTGTAATGATTCTCCAGTTCAAATAAACAGAAAAGACTGACAGTTCTTGGGAAGCCAAGTTTATTGCAGGGGAAAATTATGTCAAAATTGCTGGATGCATACATAACTAGCCAGAGCACAGAAGAATTGCTACAAGGCAGAAAGATGCAGGGATACAGAATGTTTAATCCTGTAGAGGTCTTTCTAAACTGGAACTTA